GAAGAGCGGACCCACCTCAGGGCAAAGAGACACTGCCACCCTGTGCTCCTGTGTGTCACCGTTTTACCCCAGAATCAGTTGAGTTTTGGCCATACTGTCCATTATCCACCTTTGCTTGGGGTTGCTCTTGCCCGGCGCATCCCAGCAGCGCCCAAACATCTCCGCTTAACCATAAGCTGTGCCTAAAGTGCTGCGTTTTGCTGGTGTGACCCCAGCGCCGCGGTCACGCTGTAACCGTGGTTTTTCCTTTCGCTCGCAGCGGGTTCCTGCGAGGCGAGTGCGGCGCGCAGCCCCAGCTCATCGCCTTCCACCCCTGCTTCCAGAAAGGAGCCCTCCTGACGGTGGTGAGTGCGGTCCCCGCTTTCGGCGGCAGTGCTCGGGCCATCCCTGAGGGAGATCGGTCCGGTGACTGAGCAGGAGAGGTGGAAAAACCTCCTCGCAGCGTCCCCGCGGAGGGGAGAGGGTGGGGAAGGTGTCCTTGCTGGGATGACAGGGAGGATGAGAGGGTGACAGTTGGACTGTCATCCCCTGCCGTGTCCTGTACTTGTCTGCCTCCTCACGTCCTCTTTCCCCCTCCAGTGTTGGTCCACGGGGAAGACCAGCCACATCCCCTTCTTCTTCGTCAGCACCCACGTCCCCTGCGCCAGCCCCAGCCCCGTCACCACCAGCGCCAGCGGGTGGGAGCAGCCCCTCTTCTCGGAGCGGTGACAACACCCGGGTCCTCAACGGCGTCTTCCTCAAGAGCCAGAGCTGGGATGCTCATCCTCCTCCTCCTCCTCCTCCTCCTGGGACACACGGTGTGGCCGCAGGTGCCTTTAATACCCCCTCGGGGTCTCGCAGCTCACGGGGCCGGTGCTGTACAGATTAAAGCTGGCGCTTTCTTCTTGCCACCACGAGTCTTCTCCGCGTCCGGCTCTTTCTTTGCCCTGGGAGGCTGCACATTTGGGGGTGAGGGGGGCGAGTTCTCGCAGCCCCGTGGGTCTGGGTGGGCTTCTGGGGCTCCGGTGCTGCTTTTTGATGTCACAAATTGCTCGGGATGAACCTGCAGGAGAGCACCCATTCCCTCCGCCTTAATTAAAGCAGATTTAAGGCACCTACTGCCGTGTTGGGGTGCAGCCCGCGGGCTTTGTTTCGGGGTTAAAGAGCTGCTGCCCCACGGGGAAGGGGAGGGCAGAGGGGACCTTCGGCCGCGAGCGCAGCCTCCGGGCTTTGCCTTGATGGGGGTAAAAGAACCCCCCAAAGTGAACCAAAATCTCTGTGGGTCTGTAGAACCCAAAACTTGGCCCATTTTGGGGCTGTAAATGCTGCTGGAGGCGCTGAGCGCCGGGCGCTCGTGCCGGCCCGCCGCGTGAGCCGCGGCCGTGGCGAGCAGATGGGGCACCCCCCGGCTAAGAGCGGGGATTAATGGGGAGGCTGCGGGGAGGGGGGGTGGACAGCATGGTTAATCCCCGGGATTACACACGGTTAATCCCCGGGATTACTCTGTCATTGCTCTGCTAAAGCCCGGGGTACAGAGACGATGGGGAGAGCACGGGGTCCCTCCTCGCTCCCCCACCCCCCCTCAGCTCTGCAAACAGCCCCAGGACCCCCCAAAATCCTCCCCGAAGCCGAGCCCCAACACAGGGCAGGGAAAAACCCACGCAGGGGGCGAGGACGGCAGTGGTGGCACTGCGGGGGGAGCCTGGATGGGGCCGGCGCCAGGACACAGGGTGAAAACAACGGGGTACGAACCCTCCGCAGCCGCTGGAGCGGGTTTGGGGCTGCTTCACCCCCTCGGGGCTCCCCAGTTTGCTGCTGGTGCTGGTTTGTGCCCACGGCGCCTCAGAGGATGGTGCTGCGTGTCTCTTCCTCCTCTTCTTCCTCCTCTTCTTCCTCCTCGGGGCTGGCTGGTTCGCAGGGCAGCGCCCGCAGGTACTCGAGGTGCAACCGGGTCTCGGCTCGGCTCTTCCGCACGTATCGGCCCACGTAGACGAGGATGGCACCGAGCCACCCGCCTACGGCCACCAACACCGCCACGTCCGGCGCTCGCGGCCGCCCGCTCCCCACCC